CTTTTTTAGGAGTCCTTCAATAATGTTAAACAGTGGCTGCAGGAGATAGACCGTTATGCCAGTGAAAACGTCAACAAGTTGTTGGTAGGGAACAAATGTGATCTGACCACAAAGAAAGTAGTAGACTACACAACAGCAAAGGTATGTTTAAAGTCTATCAAACTGAATTTGAAGGTATTGAATTTTAATTATGTATGTGTATGGTGTCACAACCACCCTATTTAAAAATATGTGCACTCACTCTGACAATGACAATTTGTTTCTGTTTGGATCCACTGAACTTAGTCCTTTCATACTCTCCATTTCAGATAGTAGAAATGCACCAAGCAAAAAAGATTTTTCAATGTTAATTGTGCCTTATTCTCTTAGGAATTTGCTGATTCCCTTGGAATTCCATTTTTGGAAACCAGTGCTAAGAACGCAACGAATGTAGAACAGTCTTTCATGACAATGGCAGCTGAGATTAAAAAGCGAATGGGCCCTGGAGCAACAGCTGGTGGTGCAGAGAAGTCCAATGTTAAAATTCAGAGCACTCCGGTCAAGCAGTCAGGTGGAGGTTGCTGCTAAAATTTGCCTCCGTCCGTTTCTCACAGCAATGAATTTGCAATCTGAACCCAAGTGAAAAACAAAATTGCCTGAATTGTACTGTATGTAGCTGCACTACAACAGATTCTTACCGTCTCCACAAAGGTCAGAGATTGTAAATGGTCAATACTGACTTTTTTTTTATTCCCTTGACTCAAGACAGCTAACTTCATTTTCAGAACTGTTTTAAACCTTTGTGTGCTGGTTTATAAAATAATGTGTGTTATCCTTGTTGCTTTCCTGATACCAGACTGTTTCCCATGGTTGGTTAGAATATATTTTGTTTTGATGTTTATATTGGCATGTTTAGATGTCAGGTTTAGTCTTCTGAAGATGAAGTTCAGCCATTTTGTATCAAACAGCACAACCAGTGTCTGTCACTTTCCATGCATAAAGTTTAGTGATATGTTATATGTAAGATCTGATTTGCTAGTTCTTCCTTGTAGAGTTATAAATGGAAAGATTACACTATCTGATTAATAGTTTCTTCATACTCTGCATATAATTTGTGGCTGCAGAATATTGTAATTTGTTGCACAATATGTAACAAAACTGAAGATATGTTTAATAAATATTGTACTTATTGGAAGTAATATCAAACTGTATGGTGATAAGTATTGTTTAATTCTTATGGTTAAAGGGAAATAGAGCCTTGCATTATACTCAAAACAGCCATTTGTGTCTGCAACCAGGGCATTGTAGACCTACCTATTTAGAGCAGCATCCGATATTTGCTTTCTAGATAATATACCTGATAAATGACCTAGGGAGGCTTCTGTGCTGTGTAGGGATATAACCAAATTTAGTGGTTAAGGGAGCTCGAATTTTATGGAAAACAAATTTAGAATGTATGCTCTCCAGCCCATTATCTCTGGTCCTTCTCTAAAACCATTTGAAATGGCTTCACTGATCAATATTTCGTTAATTCATCTGTGGTAGAGGTGGAAAGCAGCACACCTTTCCTAAGGCAAATGATCAGACTAATGTGCTAATGTTTCTTCCATGCTGAGTCAGATGTCAACTATTTTATCCTCCACAATTGTATAACTTATGTTGGAGGGGAGTTTAAGCATTGAAGTAGAAAGCAGGAAATCTGACTGCCATAATTTAAGAAATTATATCCCTAAAAATTAACTGAAAACATGAATGCTGGGTGGGAATAATAAATGAGAGAAATATATTTATTTCGGTGAAATTTTGCATTGTTAAGATTTTGTTAAATTTAAGAAATTATATCCCTAAAAATTAACTGAAAACATGAATGCTGGGTGGGAATAATAAATAAGAGAAATATATTTATTTCGGTGAAATTTTGCATTGTTAAGATTTTGTTAAGTAGGACCTTCAAGATCCTAGAATTTGTTTTTATTGTGGGAAGCAAAAATCTTTTGCTAACACTGGCATTTTAAGGTGACAGAAGTTGAAAGATTATTTCCTTAGGCTGAAGTAGCAGCCAAAACATTCTTCACATAGGGGCTTGGGATGTGGCTGTTGGCAACACCTTTTATTGTGGGGTCTTTAATTTAATGATAAAATTTAAGCTAAAAACAAGCCAAAAATTATAGGTTTCTTTATTTTTCACTAAACAGACAATTGAAATATATGGTACAAAAATAAACGGTAAGATTATTGTAAAATGAAATGGACAGAATAAATAATTCAATTTAATTTTCCATCTATGAGAATTTCACAAATAAAATCATAGTTTACTTTGTATTATAGACGTGCTTGTTGGATCTCTTCATCCTCACATAAGGCAACTGACAAATTCCTTAAGTTACCAATAGTTATTTGGGTGAAGATCTTTTTTTAATGTTTTGTTTTTTTGCCTTATCAATACAGTATAAAGGGGTAAAGAATTCACAAACAATTTTCTCAAGTAGTTAAATGATGCAAAACAAATATTAGACAATGTGATGCCGTGCACTACAGTTTTATACAGCAAAAGTCATTCAAACCGTCAGCTTATTCTTGGTAAGTTAGCAGAAAACATAACATAAATTTATTTTAAGATGTGAGCATATTTACACTTAGTTTGTTCTTTCCCCCATGGCAGTTAAGACTGGGACTTACCATAACATATTTCAGCATGCAACACTACTTTTATGCATACACTAATAAATGCAGTTTTGAAAAAAATATATTCCCACTTCTCCCATTTTTGAGTACAAATATTTCAAGGCTACTATGGGCTTTAATAATCTTTTCACTTATAAAGGGAATTATCACTTGCCATGTATTAAATATAAGTGGCTGTCATAAATTAGCTTCCATAATAAAGAATATGCTAGCTCTAAGCAGTTGCCAGCTCTGGGAAATCCTTACAGAATGATAGCCATTATGGTCTGAGCAGTCGTATATATTCTTTGACCTTGGATTGAAATTTCCTGTAGCATACATGTTGCCATTCCAACATATCTTAACATCAACACTTCCCTGTGTTCCCATTTGAACTTCAAAATAGCCCTGTATTGGCATCATCTCCCATTTGCCAGTTAGCTTAGCCATGGATCTACAAGAAACAAGGCTGTGAAACTGCCAATCCATCTTTAGGATTTTACTGCCACTTCCCTGTGGACTCAAATTCCATTAATTTTAAGGGATTAGTAAGAAATTTTATTCTAGTGTGGCACCACAGTGCACCAGCCAGGCTACTTGAATCTAACTCTTGGCCATGTTCATGGAAATGCTGCTGGCAGCATCTTAGTAGGCTGAAACAATT